CTAAGGATACAGAGGCGGGCCAGGCAGATGCGGCCCTCTCTCCCTGGGGCCCTGAGGGAGCTCCCCACCCAGGAGGGGGACAGACTTAACATAAACTTCTTCCAGATGGAAAGGAAGTAGTATAATGAGTAGAAAACAGGGGATCTGATAGACAGTGAATGGGGATGGGGCTGCTTTACCTGCAGGGAGGGGTCAGCGAGAGCCTTGCTTGGGAGAAAATGACCTGAAAGAAGAGGGGAGCCGGTCATGCATCAGTGGTCTGGGAACAGCAAGTGTGAAGGCAAGGCAGGGAGGGGCGCCAGGCTGGGGAGCAGTGGGAGATGAAGATAGAGGAGGCTATGCCGATCCTCTGGGGCTTTCAATGCCACCGTAAGGGGTTTGGATTGCTGCGCTCTGTGAGGCAAGCTCACTCTGGCTGCTTTGTGCAGGGGGGGGTTGTGGGGGGCAAGGCTGGAAGTGCGGAGACCAGCAGGGAGGCTGGTGTACGTGCAGATAAAAGTGGGCGGTGCACGTGAGCCTGGCACCTGCTAAGTGCCTGTGTGTGACATCTCACTTAATCCTCCTAGCAACCCTGTGGTGCAGGTTCTTATTAGACCCATTTTACAGATAAGAAGACCGAGGCTTTAGAGCTGTCCAAGTCTAGCCCTAACCCTAGCCAATGTAAATGGTGGAGCTGGGGTTCAAGCCCAGGCATTCTGATGTCCGAGCCCATGGGACCCGGTGTTCTAACCATCAAAGGTCCTTTGAGTCAGTGCACAGGGCTGGGGCGACCCCTGGGAGGGCACAGTCCCTCGTGAGATGCTGCCACCCTGGATGGACCCAGCCGGGACCACCTCCCTCTGAGTTGCTCTCTTGAATCAGAGAGAAGCTCCCAGACCTGGTTCTGTGCAGAGCGCCAAAGGAAGCAGGGAGTCACTCCTGCTGGAGTGCCGTGAATTCGTCCATTTTTAAATTTTATTTTAAAATTTATTCTTCAAAAACACTTCTGTCGAGGCCTAACTTCCTGCAGCGACGTGCAGGAATCATCTCTGTGTAGACAAATGAGGTTGTATGTACAAGGGCGGCCAAGTAACTACTACCTGAGTTGGGATGGAGAGCACTGTCCCCCATACCCAGGTCAGCTGGGAGGGATGACGTTTATGTCTCAAACACAGTATGTCTCTGCCCTGTACCAGGGTATGCTGAGGCCTCCTTCCTCTTCTTTAGCCAGGGATCCCCAGATCTTGGGGAGGGGTCCTTCGGGACAGATGGGCACCAAAGTCCCTATGGATGAACGGTGAAGACAGCAGCTCAGTGAATGAATGCCCAGGTCTCTGGAATGGTGGCTTGTTCTGGAAAGTGGCTCAGGCGCAAATTTTCCCACACACCTCACCTCACAGCAGCCAGTAAATTGCAGGGGGGGCGGGTGTCTCAATCTGATTTGCAAAGAGGACTCAGTTTAATCATCTGTAAATGGGGGGCAGGGGGAAGGATGGGAAGGGATGAGGTTTTTAAGATTCCCAGGACTGTGAGTAAGTGGCAAGCCCATCAAGACACCGTTTCCTTCCTCTGAAAGGAAAAAGCCAGACTCCCTTACTCCCAACCTCCTTAAAATCGGACACTGGGGGCACCTGGATGGCTCAGCTGGTTGAGTGTCTGACTTCGGCTCAGGTCATGATCTCACAGCTCATGGGTTCGAGTCCCGCTTCAGGCTCTGTGCTGACAGCTAGCTCAGAGCATGGAGCCTGCTTCTGATTGTTTCTCCCTCTCTCTCTGCCCCTCCCCTGCTCATGATCTGTCTCTCTCTGTCTCTCAAAAATAAATAAATGTAAAAAAAAAAAATTTAAGGGGAGCCTGGGTGGCTCAGTCGGTTAAGCGTCCGACTTTGGCTCAGGTCATGATCTCACAGTTCGTGGGTTCGAGCCCCACGTTGGGCTCTGTGTTGACAGCCAGCTCAGAGCCTGGAGCCTATTTCAGATTCTGTATCTCCCTCTCTCTTTGACCTTCCCCTGCTCATGCTGTCTCTCTCTCTCAGAAATGAAAAAAAAATTTTTTTTTAATTAAAAAAAAATCTGACACTGGACAGAGAGTGTATGTTTGCCTCCCACTCTCCCAGGAGGAGTTGCTGGAGAGGACAGTGTGCATTTTCAAGTTGCTTTAGAGTGAGATACACTCTGAGTGAATCCTCACTCTGTCACTCACTAGCTGTGTGATGCTGGGGAAGACACTTCACCTCTCTGAACCATCCACTTCCTCTTCTGGACATGGGGATAGTAATGGCTCCTACCACAAAGGCTGTTGTAAAGGATTCAATGAGAAAATGAAACCAAAGTGCTTGGAGGAGACCCAAACCTTGGGCATGCTCAATGAATATTACCTACTATTAATGTTGTTGGTATTGCTTTCTTCAAGCTTTGAGCACAAGGTAAGCGTCTTAGATGCCTGTGTTTCTTCCACCCTTCACCGCAGGTCTCCTTGCCCCCCACCCCCAGCCCCTGCCTGATGGCCAGGACCCTAGAGCAGTAGCTGTCCGACTCCCAGAGGGGAGAGACTTCTGGAAGATCCCCCGGACAGAGTCCGGATGACCTCCAAAGTCCAAGCACTTAGCGTCTTGTCTGCATAAATTCCCCACAGCCGCCACCGGCAATTGCGGCATTAATGTGCCTCTGTTCCTCGTAGGTTAATATATGTATTATTTATAGGCCTTTATTATGTGCTCGGAGGGCTCCCCTGAGAAATGTAATTGTGCACTGGGAGGTAAATTTGAATAATATTTACAATTAATTTCCATCAATAAAGCAATGCGCCGAGGCCTCTGTGCTGTTGAAATGGGCCCTGGGTTGGCTTTCCGCTAACCGCTCCCCTGAGAAAGCTTGGGTAGCTTTTAAGCATCTGTAGAATAGTCCACTTCTCTCAGGCTCTACCTCTGCTCCCAGTGCACTCATCTGGGGGCTGTAGCAGCCTCCAGGCTTCCCCTTCCGCCCTTCTCCATCCTGTCCTTCCCAGAATGGCTCCCTGCCTCTGACATCACTGCAAAATACGCGGGTCTGAGCGTGGCCCTGCCCTGCACGTGGGCCCCTCTGCCCTGCTCTCCATCCTGTCTGCCCTGTGCTCTCTGCTGCAGCCCCAGCCCCCCCAGTCCCTGGCAATCGCTTCCCCCTCCCACGCTGTTCCCTCCACCTGGAGCACCCTCTCCCGCACACACACCCCCACTCCCACCCCCACCCACTCAGCGCCCACCCATCGTTCACATCTCGCCTCCAGCGTCTCTTCCCCCAGGAAGGTTTCCCTGGTCTTTGAGGGTCGGATCCCCCCCAGATTACGCGTGTAGCACTTAGTGTGGCTGTTTTCCGTCGTGGGGGTGACTTTTAAAAAATTATTGGCTGTCTCTCCCACTGACCAATGAATGTGCTCATGAGGACACAGACTGTATCATGTCCTGATCATTCTTCATTCCTGGTACATACCACGGGGCCTGGCAAAGAGAAGGTGTGAAATAGATTTTTATTGAATGGATGAATGGGTGGATATAGAAATGGTTATGCAAATGGTGGGTGGGTGGAGGTGTAGATGGATGTTGGGGTAGATGGGTAAGCGTTATCTTGAGTAAGTCCCTAACAATCTCCCGTCCGTGGTTGCTAAGAAACTGACAGAAGTGGAGGGAATGCTTTTCAAACTGCAGTTTCTTTGGCATCCTAAATTCAAGGAATGATCGGGAATTTGGGGTTTCCTCCAGCTGCCTCACAACACTGCTGCGTGACTTTGGACAGCACACTGCACTTCTCTGGGCCTCGCCTGCTACTCCGGGAGGTGGATGGGGAAGGCAGGGGGGCGTTGGGGGGCAGGCACATCCCACACGGAGCCCCACCCTTGCTTCAGTCTCTTTAATCAAAAGCAACTTTGTCCTCAAATGGAGTAAGCAAGCGAGGCCCCTTCTGAATTATTTCGTGGTTAGACAAGTAGCTTCCTGGTCCCTCCTGGTCCTGGAAGGCACCGCCAGCAGCAATCTTCCAAATCCAGGATTTGGCGACCTCAGGCCCAGGGCGCCCAGCGCTAGCCCGGGCATGGCATGCTAGGGCAGAACGGGAGGGGGAAGAGCTAGGGAATTGTGGGCCACTTCCATCCGAGCAAACACCAGCTGGGTTTGCAGCAAAGGGCAGCGCTTGAAGCCTCCATTCCCTCATCTGTAAAATGGGAGAGGCCCTCATGGCTCTTCTCACTGTTGGGTTCTTTAAATTTACTTATTTATTTTGAGAGAGAGAGAGGGAGGGAGACAGAGAATCCCAAGCAGGCTCTGCACTGTCAGCACAGAGCCCAACACAAAGCTCAGTCTCACGAACCATGAGATCATGACCTGAGCCGAAATCAAGAGTTGGACGCCCAACCGACGGAGCCACCCGGGTGCCTCTCACTGTTTGGTTCTGTCCTCTGCCACCCAGCCTGGCCCCTAAGCCCTCCAGAGCAGACTCTGGGGGCAGACTCTTCTGTCAGCCAGCACAATGTCAGGGTCACTGCCCCATCCTGAGCCCCTCCCCCGTATCCCTTTGCTTACCCCCCTTCCTTGTTTGTGGGATCTCAGGCCGCAGACCTGGTTCAAGGCCCAGCTCCACCATTTACTAGCTGCACGAGGCTGGACAGCTGGGGTCTGCAATTCCACTTCCCTCTCTGCTCACTCAGGTGGCTCTGATGGTCTTCACCTTGGACCGTTTTTGAGGATCTGATGAGATCATGAGCCTGACACATAGTAGGTACTTAAAACATACCAGACCCTCTTCCCTTATCTTTATCTGCATTTCCTCTGTGCTTCCCCCCCCCCCCAATACCGCCTTCATCTCCTGTCCCTGTGCCGGCTTCCCCGGACCCCCTTGGCCCACCAACACTGGCCCGAGTCCTGGCCCCGAAGGCGGCCTCTCAGACACAAAGCATGTGGGCTGCCTGTGGCGTAATGCAGGCCCACCTACTTTGGGAACCGCAGGACCTTTGTATCTGTGAGATGCTCTGAAGAAGCTGTAGGGACAAGATTAAGGAGGATGTCATGGCAGCATTTACGTATTTAATGGAGAACAACTGGTGGGGCAGCCAGAGAGAGGCCCAACCCTAAGGAGGAAAACAGCTGGTTTGGATTTTACTCCCGCTCATCAGCTTTTCCAACAACAAACCGATTTCCTGGCTCCCGGGCGGCCAGGCTTGGCCTGCACGCAGCCCAGGAGGAGGGAGGGACCGGCCTGAACAAGGAGCACCTGGGGTTCAGAGCCTGCGTGGCTGGGGACCGCCTCTGGTGTCTGGAACACGCCCCAGGCCATCTCATTGCTTCCCTTGTGAAGTTGGGGCAATGTTTAAAGCTCCCTACTTTTGCTCTCCTACGGCCCAAGTTCAGGTTTCTTGAAGCCACTGGGCGCCCTGACTTAGGGTCAGTTCAGAGCGGCCTCGTCATAAACAACGATGACCCGAGGAGGGAAGGAACAGTCTGTCTCTTAACGAGGTGCGATTTCCAAACAGCCCATGGCCTCGGGCGCTTGCCCAGCGCTGTGTAGACATTACATCTGTTCATTGCATCTTGTCAGAGAACTGGCTTCACGATGACGGCATTTGGAAGAGAAGAGAGTGTGGACGCGGGGAGGCCAGAGGGCCTTGCGCCCCCCCAGCGACAGCCTCCCGCCCGGCCTGCCCCCCCCGCCCCACGCCTTCCCGGCGGTCTCAGAGGGTACAGGACACGGGAACCATGGCGGTCGCGTGCGGATGGATGTCAGGGGAACCAGAGGCCAAGAGTATTTTCGTTGCCCCGGTGGGTCATTTTCGAAAACAGTTTGCAAAGCTGATGCATAGGCCAGGAAGATGTTTATATTAATCTGCTGAAGAAGCAATATGTAAGGTCAAAACCCCACACCTCTCTCAGAACCCTGATCCTGCAGCCTTATTGGAGCCAGACAGACCTAGTTTCCAATGAAGGCTCTGGTGGAGACCAGCTGGCCGCCCTCAGGGAAGTTACTTAACCTCTCTGAGCTTCATGTATGTAAACGAGAAGTAATAACTGTAAGTCAGGGCCGCTGGGAGGTGTAAATTTAGCATAGGGAGCACTAAATAAGTGTAGGCTATCATGATAGTCTAGAATATTCTCAATAGATACATTTGCCATTGAAAAAAATAAAAAAACAGTTTCTGGAGCCAGACAGAGCTGGGTTCAAATCTTAACTCTGCCTCATGCCTGCTGTGTGTCCGTGGGCGCGTTACTGCCCGCCCTCCCCGAGCCCCAGCTTTGTCATCTGTAAATGGGACAAGGACACTGTGGTACAGGAGGGTGTCGGTCCCGAGGAGAAGAGGCAGCACGGCCACCAGGCCCCAGGCCCTGCGGAGTTCAGGGACCCAGCCCTTGGACATGCTCTTCAACCTGCAAGGCCCTCCCAGGTTGCTCTCTGAAGCTGGGGTGGGGGTGGTGAGATGCCCTCCTTCCCAGGCCCCCTGCCCTGGCGTGGTTTATCTGAGTACCTGCTGCCAGGGCCAGTGGATCGGGAAAGGAAGGGCAAACCCCACAATGGGGAAGAAACTGAGAGTGAAGCTGTCCACCAGGGCCCAGCCCCCAGGCAACAATTGCAAGAGGAGAGCGGGGCCTGGGGTGCACGGCTGACGCCACCCCACCCCCAAAAATAGCCACGGCCCACAGCACCCCACCTGGGGAGGTTACAGGGTAAGTGCCTTCGGGCTGCATCCTTTGAAGGGCCTCTGCTCTCCCCTCTCGAGCCCTTCTCCTAAACCGTACCTCCACTTGACCTCACCCAGGGGAATGATGCGGGCGGCGGGATTTCTGACTGGCCAGTGAAACGGGCATGTGGGGGAGGGGTAGCGCTGGCATGTGGAGAAGGGGTGGTGCTGGAATGTGGTGGAGGCGTGATTTTGCATCACACCAGGTCTGTTCTGACCTCCTCTGCTGAGATAGGAGTACGCCCTGTGGCCTGTTTGTCACTCCAGGAAGGCGTGGAATAGGTAGCTGAATCCCTCTGTCTTACGCTGACCCCAGTTCACGGCAGTGTTTTTGAGAATTCTCCCTCATTTGCTTCAGGGTCAGCCAAGGCAGGTCTCCCGAGAAGCACGGGGTGCTGGTCCAAGGCCAGAGCGACTCGGCATGCCCCGTCCACCGTGCCACTCGAAGGACCGAGTTCCAGGCCCTGGACTCCCAGCCCAAAACACTGGGAGCCCCGTGTAAGGGCAGCAGGTGTCAGTGGGTGTGGAAGGGGCGTCTGCAGCCTCTTTGGAAGGCACAGCTTGGGGCTCCAAGGCTGGAGCATCTGTCCATCGGGGGCTCCCAGAGGAGGCTCAAAGCATGCTGGTCTCCTTCTCGTTGATGGATGACATCTTGGTAAAGCTCCTGTGGCTGGGGTAGGAGGAGTGGCCCGTGTCCTCGCTCAGAGCATTCACCAGGCGGGAGAAGAGGCCCAACTTGAACTTCTTGAAGTCCTGGCCCATGAAGACGTACAGGATGGGGTTCATGCAGCTGTTGGCAATGGCAACAGCAGTGGCCAGGGGCAGACCCAGGCTGAAGACGGAGCCGGGCACGGCGGCGTGGTGCAGCTCCAGCAGGTGGAGCGTGTGGTAAGGACACCAGCAGAGGAAGAAGGTGGTGATGATGGTCACGATGATCTTGAAGGGCTTCTTGGTCTTGGCCAGGCGGTTGCGCCGCAGCTTGCAGACGATGGTGAAGTAGCAGGCCGTGATGATGAGCACGGGGACCAGGAAGCCGCAGAGGAAGCGGGTGACGGTCACTAGCGTGTGCCGGCTGAAGCCCACAGGGTCCAGCCGGGGGTGGGTGAGCTGCGGGGCAGAGGCGGCCGCAGACAGGCTGAAGTTGTTAAAGCAGGAGATTTTCCCATGCACGTGGGCCGTGTCCCGGAAGATGAGGGATGGAGAGCTCAGGAAGAAAGCCAGGATCCAGATCACCACGCAGGCCACGCTGGCCAGCCTCACACCACGGTGGTTCTGGGACCAGACAGGAAGGAGCACGGAGATGCAGCGGTCGAAGCTGATGACGGTGAGCAGGAAGACGCTGGTGTACATGTTGTGGATGAGCAGAAAGCTGCTGATCTTGCACATGGCCGTCCCGAACACCCAGTGGTAGTCCATGGCGGTGTAGGCAATGTGGATGGGGAGGAAGACGTTGAACAGGAAGTCTGCCACGGCCAGGTTGAGGAACCAGACGGTGTTCACTGTCTTCTTCATCTTAAAGGTGGCGATGATGATCACTAGCCCGTTGCCCAGGATCCCGAGGAAGCAGATGATGCTGTAGACCGCCACCAGGAAGATCCTGGTCACCTTGCCTTCCAGGGGGGACGACTCCTCCAAAACCACGATGGGCTCAAGGTCGTCCAAGTAATCCTCATTGTAGGATAAGGATGTGTTGTAATCCATGTCCCCCATTCTCTGCAAGGACAGACAGGAGTCATCAGAGGGGACTGGCTCTAAGAGGTTGGCCGACACCAGCAAGACTGATGGTGTTCTGCCCGACTTGGAGCAAGGCCAGACTGCTTAACTACTCACTTAACTACAGAGCCCATTTTACAGATGGGAAAACTGAGGGATAGAGAGCTTAAGTCACCTCCCTTCTCAGTTATACAGCTGAGAAGAGGTGGAGCCAGGAGTCAGACCCCAGCTTCAGAGTCTGTCCTCTTGACAACCATGGTTGGTGCCTCTCTGGGACCCTCTCCTTCCCCTTACGGTCCACTGAGGGAGAGACAAGTATTCATCAAGCTCCTCAAATCATGGTAGAACTGTGGCGATGCTGAGGGCAATGAAGGAGGGGTGCACAGTGCTGTGAACTTGGCTCCAGCCACACTTCCAAAACCCAGGAGTCAGCTGTGCTGCCATCCTCTGGTGCCCTACCTTGTCACAGGTCCCCCACCAGTGCCCTTTGGAGACGTTTGTTCAGACCACAAAAGCCCCTCACCATTCACTGTTAGGGTGTCCAAAGCTCTCCAGTGGGGTCCTTGGCCAGTCAGTCCTTGGGCACAGCTGGGAACCCCTACAGGAAGGAAGACGAGGCAGTGGTTGGATCCGGGCCCGGGGGTCAGACGGTTCGGTGCACAGATAACGATCTATTGTCATTACTCCCAGTTTACAGAGGAGAAAGCAGAGGCTTGAAAAGCAGAGCTTGGAGGCTGGAAGGTGACAGAGCCCCTTGAACCCAGACTAATTGCTGGAGCCTTCATCCCAGCCCCCACCTTCTCCCCACCCCAGCACACCCACCGATGAGACCCCAAGTCAGGGGTGGGTGCGGAGAAGGCCCAGGGAAGAGTGTGTGGGTGGTTCGGTGCAGATCTACGGCCAGGGAAGACCTAGAAACCACCATTCCAGGCACCCAGAAGGCAGAAAGGGAATGGCCCTGAGCACCTACTATGTGCCAAGAACTATGATTCCCTTCTTTTGTCTTTCCGGGGCTCTTTGAGGCAGGTGTTGCGCCTCTTGTTTTGGACCTGGGGAAACTGAGGCCCAGGAGAGAAGCGTCCTGCTCACTGGGCATTCCCTGGGCCCTCTGGGTGTCGTGGATCACACACAGACCTGCTGCCACAGCAGCCTGGTGAGGAGACAGACACGAATGCATTCACGGACCACCAACCATGTGCCAAGCCACTGCAGTGGCCCTTTGCCAACTCCTGTAACAGCCTTGTTGGATATTGTTCCCCACCTGAGGAAGAATAGACTGACCTTCTGGGGACTCTGCACATTGGAGAGGTCTTAGAGATGGCCTCGTGGGCATGGTTCAAACCCAACTCTGGCCAACTACCAGCTACGTGGCTTTGGGTACGTGAGTTCTCCTCTCGGAGCCTTAGTTTCCTCATCAATGAAGTGGGAACACTCACTGCTTCACAGAATGGATGTAAAAATCACAGTCATCGGGAATACGGCATGTCAGTTCAGTGCTGGCACATGACAAGCTCTCAAAAAATACTCTGTGATTCCATTAGGGCCCAGGGGTAAACTGCAGGATTCCAGAGCCAGGGCTCTGACAGTCCAGAGCCCATGCGCTTCCAGCACCCAGGCTCTGCCCATCCTGACAAACCGGCTCCAACCCAGATGTTCCGCTGGCGAGACTGCCAATCGATGCTTCGTTATAAATAACTCCGACCTTCCACCATATAAACGCATTACTGGTCCTTAATGGGCTTGAGGTTGTATTTTATTGCAGAAAAGTCATCTTTCGCTTTTATTAAATAAAAGCCACTTGGAAAATCCCAGTGAGGGCCCTGGGCTCAGGGGATTCAGAATTAAAGTGTCACCACACTTGGGTGTCATCCCACACTGCAGGCTGGGAGAATATTCCAGACGTGCCCAGGGAGGGGTCTGGGGGCCTTTCCTGTGTCCCTGGAATGCACAGGGAAGATGGGAAGAGTGCAGCTCCCCCCATAATGGGGGGAGTGTGACACATGCTTGTGATAACACAGACCAGGGACTGTGCTGAGCATTTACTGTAGATGGCTTTGCTTGGGCCCCATGATGGGCACCGACCAGGCTGAGGGAGATGAAAACTCTTGCCCAAGGCATCCATCCAGGGGGGAGTGGGGGGGTCAGAACTGGAATGATGTCTGCGGAACCGGGGCAGTCACCATCACTACGTGCTGCCCCGGAAGTCATGGTCTGATGACCGCCACCAAGCGTCCTTGAGGAAGAAAGGACTGTGTTCACACTCCCTGGGCTGGGCCGGGCTGTGAGGGCCCCAGGGACAAGTAAATGACTTCCCTGGGGTCCCGTCCTATGGGAGCTCATGGCCAATCAGAAGGCACAAGACCGAGGGGAGCCGGGGCAAGTCCAGAAAGCCGGAAGCAGCCCGGAGGGGGCGTTCCCCCAGCCTGGGCACAGTCCCGTGCTTCTCTGGGCAGGCGGGATCTGAGCTGAGTTTTCAAGGACGTCTAGGAGTTCAGAGAATGAAGGAATGTGCCAGGCTGTCTCTGCCCCCCCACCCCCACCCACTACCAATGAGGGAGGAGTCTGAACCCCCAGAGGAGGTGGAGAGGAGTGGGGACCCAGCATTTCTGGACACAACTGACGTCATGTCTCGCTCTCCGGCGGGGCTGGGAGCAGCTCGGGGCCACAGGCCGTGTCTTATCGTCTGTGAGCAGGGAGGGGGTGGGGCAGGCCCAAGCAGCACAGAGCGGCGCTGACATCCTTTGGGCCTGTGCGTCCACCCCGTCAGTCCACTAGGAACTGAGTGCATCAGTGTCCCCAGCTGATGTGTGCCCTCTCCCTGCGACCTCCTAGGGGAGAGTCTCAGCACAGGTCTGCCCTCGGCCTAACTGGACACACATCCCTGCTGTCCTGAGCTCGTTTCTGTGCCCACCCAGGTAGTACAGCGGAGGGGTCAAGGACACAGATGCTGGGGCCCGGCCAGGCTGCCAGCTCCCCAATCCTGGGTCTGCATGAACTTCCTGTGACCACTGCTCTGCACCTCAGCTGTCTTATCTGTAAAATGGGCCCGATCGTGCAGTGGGGGGTGGGGGAGTGTGTGTTTCAATGTCACATGTAAAGCTCTTAAGATAGAGTGAACACTAAGCTGAATGACCTTTGCCTCCTAAAATGGCCTTTGGCTGGAAAGGTAGAAGGGGCCGGGAAGATCACAGGACCCCTGTGTCCCAACCACTTGCCTCCCCAGTTCTGGGTTCAAGGGCGGGTCAAGGGTGACACGGGCAAAGATTTTGCTTCTCTTCACCTCTCAACCTCTCCCTCATTTTGTTGGGAGGATCATGTGAAGTGACAATGAGCCCTTGGCCAATCGTAAATTATAAAGAGCTATAAAATTCTGGTTATTTCTATTTCTTCAACAAACAAGAAGCTTCTGAAAAGTGTGTGCACCTATCTATCCACGATAGGAGTATACACGTAGCCAACATGTATTTGAGCACTCAGCACATCCTGAACACTGCTCGGCAAGGCTCCCTGCAGCCCTGAAAGGCTCACTTTGCTTACAGGTGCAAAACCTGAGGATCAGAGAGGTGATGCAACTTGCCCAAGGCCACACAGCTGGGAAGTTGGACCTCCAAGGATTCCCAAGTGAGAAGTGTCTTGGGCACCCCCTGCTTCCATGAGGGGTTAGCAGTCCCCAGGCCCTCCACTTACGACTCCCATCTCTCTAAGCCTTAGCTTTGAATCCTAGTTCAGACCTTCACTATATTCTTTTTTTTTATGTTTATTTAAAAAAATTTTTTTTAATGTTTAGAGAGATACAGAGTGCAAGTGGGGGAGGTGCAGAGAGAGAGAGGGAGGCACAGAATCCGAAGCAGCCTCCAGGCTCTGAGCTAGCTGTCAGCACAGAGCCCGATGTGGGGCTCGAACCCACAGACTGCGAGATCGTGACCTGAGCTGTCAGACGCTCAACCGGCTGAGCCACCCAGGGGCCCGTTTATTTATTTTTTGAGAGACAGAGAGAAAGAGAGAGTGAGCACACAAGCAGGGCAGAGAGAGAGGGAGACACAGAATCTGAAGCAGGCTCCAGGCTCTGAGCTGTCAGCACAGAGCCCAACACGGGGCTCGAATGCACAAACTGCGAGATCATGACCTGAGCCGAAGTCAGATGCTCAACCGACCCAGCCACCCAGGCGCCTCATATTCTTGACCCTCCTAGGGAGCTGCCTTTGCTGACCCACCTTCCCAGCCTTCCCTTTGCCTTTCCTTCAAGGCCCCTAGAAGTGGCTCCACATGAAAATCACACCTGCAGTGCTGTGTGTATCCTGGTCGTTGATGCTGCCCACCATGTCTCTCGGGTGCCCCTTCTGAAGCCCCCTGCTTGGTGAGAAATGCCCAGGAGAATTCAAGGTAAGGAACAACACTGCTTCCCCTGAGGAGCTGGGCTATTTCTTCATTCCTGATAATCCAAGTTCTACAGCTGATCATGTTTCCCTTTTTGATGTGGTCACAAGGAAGCTCAGAGTCACATTTGCAGGTCAGAGGCAGCAACCGCATTAACCCTGCTGGTCTGCAGGCTTCTACATTGGTTTGGTTACTCATCATGTCTTCATCTAGTTATACTTTCTATTAGTTTTAGTTTGCGGTGATAAATAATTGACTGGCACACACAATAGCCCAAACACTGGATACTTTCATTGTATCAGCTCACACATCCCCCTAAAAGCCCCAGAAGTGGTACAGCTGTCACTCCCTATGTAAGAGTGAGGAGTGAGGCTATTGTCGCACAGTCAGTGAGTGGCCAGCTCACACCCAGGTGGCTCAGGCTCTGAGCCCTGCTCTTAACCGGCACATCTCTCTGTGTCTACACCCACCCCTCATCCTGCTCCCCAGGACACCTACTATTGCTCCCCTTGTCCTAGCCCCTCCAGGAACCTACATCCCTGCCCCTCTTTTCAGGACATCTGGTTGAGGTCTGGGGCACCTGGTTCATCACAGCCCAGGCAGGCAGGTGAGCCTGTGGCCAGCCTGTCCCGCTCCCCACCCCCGGCTTCCCCCAGAGAGCCCAAGGAGCAAATGAGCTCCCCTGGCTGGCTCCCAGATTCAGCCCGTGACCCTGCACTTATACCCATTTGGAACAAGGCCTGCAGCTGGGCTGTTCTGAGGCCCCTGGGACAGACTCCCCAGGCCATCTAGACAATGTCCTGCCTCAAGGGCCCCTCCTCCCTGGCATCCCCGCCTGGACATCGACAGGAAGCGTATGAAGCAAAGGACAGCTTTCTTTCTCTTCATGGCCTTAGCGTACCTTCCCAGCAGCCCCGAGAAGTAGGCGGGCAGGTATTATCATCCCCATTTTGCAGGTCCTGACACTGAGGCTCAGAGAGGAGAAGCAAGTTGTTCAGGTGTGACCTTGGACCTCCCAGTCTCCAGAACTGTGAGAATAAATGTTTGTTGTTTAAGCCCCATAGGCATCCTGTTATAGCAGCCTGGACGGGGCGGCGGCCCCTGGGGCTCCACTGCAATCCCAGTGCAATGGGGCCATCTGAGGACCCACCCCAGGCTCTCGTGAGGCTCGAGGAGGAGGTGTCAGTTAGGGCAGGGGTTGGGGGTGGGCTCCCGGGCACT